TTGCAAATGGAGTAACATCTTACACCCCTTACCTTTCTTGACAGTCTGGGCAGGGGGGATGGGATAGCGATTGAACCCTCCAAGCCCTGGCCTTTGGGAGTTGCCATAGTAGCAGAGAGAGAAGCTAAGTTGATGTGGTCCTTAGGGCCTCCCTCAGTCTGTGTGGAGTGGTATGAGAGAATTCCACAGGCTGGGTAGCTTATACCCAAGTTCATATGTCACAGTTTTGGAGGATGAAAATCTGAGGTCAGGGTGCCAGTGTGGTCGGTGAGGCCCTTCCTGTGGGTTGCAGCCTTCTGGGATCTTCACAAGGTGGGAGGGGCGAGGGAGCTCTCAGGCCTCTTTGTAAAGGGCCCCAATCCCATTCATGGGGCAGAGCCTCCCAATCACTTCCCAAAGGCCCCACCTCCAAATGTCATCGCCTTGGGAGTTAGGTTTCACTATATGAAATTTGCGGGGACACAAAGAGACCATAGCCAGACCCTTTGGAAAAAGTTCAACACCAGTTGTTTCTACCTCACAATGTAATAGGCATTGTGGTGCTACAGGCTTGTGCTTCCCATCCCACAAGTGCCAGAGGGGAGTTTCCCAGCCAGGGTGAGGTGCAGGGAGCGACGTGTTACTGGGACACAGGGCCTTTCATTTGCCACCAGCGGGGTGGGGGGCGACTGAGGGGGATAAGGATTCAGGTCAACCTCTGATGTACCAAGTTCTCGGAACGTACGGGATTTTCTGTCCGTTGGCAAGTTAGAGGCCTGAATCTCAGTTGCCCTGTCTCAGGTGCCAGTAGGGGTGGCTGATATAACCTGACCAAATTCAGAGTCCTGTTTCCCAGTGAAAATTCGCTGGCACTCTATGGGAGGGTGCACAGTGCTCAATCCCTCCAACCGTGAAGGAAAACCCTTGTCTCTTTGGCTTCCCATCATGTAAAAGGGGGCCCAGCCCCTACTGGACTCCTGGCGTATGGGAGATGGTACAAGTCTCTGAGGGATGAGTCCTTTGGAGCCTCTGGCAAAAGGAGGAAGCCTCCACCTGGAAGCTCTACTTGGTGTATGGATTTGGGACCTCCTGACACAACTAAGAGGTGTGCTCTTTTAAAATAGCAGTGATTAAAACCCAAACTAAATAAAGTTTTTTTTACAAAAGAGTGATGACCTTATCAGGGAGCTCTCCTCAAAACTGACCCTTAGATGTGTTGTGACTGTGATGAGGGACCAGAAGGCAAGCTGAGAACAAAGCACAAGATGACACCCCGCAAACTGAACCCTACAAGCCCTGGCCTTTGGGAGTTGCCATAGTAACAGAGAGATGCTAAGTTAATGTGGTCCCTGGGGCCTCTCTCAGTCTGTGTGGAATGGTGTAAGAGATTCCCACAGGCTGGGTAGCTTATACCCAAATTCATATCTCAGACTCACCCCACCCCACTGGTGGCACATGAAAGGCCCTGTGTCCCAGTAACACTTCTCTACCTGCACCTCACCCTGACTAGGAAAATCCTTGCTGTCCTAAAGCTAAGGGAAGGCAAAACAAATGGTTAATTATAGAGATTATAGTCCTGCAAGACATGAGTCTCCCTCAGTTTACAAATGTCTTAGCGATTTACGAGAAAAAAGCATGCTTACCAATAACCTAACTTCCAGAAGGAAGTGTCTTAATATTAATACTTTGCTAGGGGGAAAAATCACCTTAACTTGACAATGGCAAGTTCTCCAATATCTTGTAGGTCCTCTTTAGCATATGAAATTTCTTTTGAAAACCTCCCTTTTCCTTACCTCCCCCAACTCCCAAGTATGGACTAGTCACCCCTCACAGTCCAGATGCAGCAGCACTTTCTGCCCACGGGTCCTGTCCCCGGGCTTTGATAAAATCACCTTTTTGCACCAAAGGTGTCTCAAGAATTCTTTCTTGGCCATCGGCTCTGGACCTCACCAACATTCAAAAACTACATCAACTCTCTGGCCTGATATTCCAGTTTTGGAGTGAGTCAACACAGACTCGATTGTAACAGGGTAGGAAGGGCCCCAAAAGTCCCGTGTCCCATGGAAAGTACATATTCAAGAATGAAGGCTGACTTTTCAGCAGCATCTCAGCTTGACAGGAATAAATGGTACCTATCCCTTTAAAGGAAATTTTAAGCCCCACATTGTAGCCAAAGCCACTGGTACTAGGAACCCTCATGCACGGCCCTGATCACTGATGGTATAGGTCAGCTAAAACCTAATGGTGTCCCCTGGGCCACTGGGTCTGGTTAGTCTCGTGCCACCTCTGCAGAACCGAAATCAGAGGCAGGTCCTTCCTTCATTGTCACATCTCAGAAACCTGGGCTGCTGCCAAGGGTCTAGCTGTTCAGTATGTTATTTGGAAAACTATGGACCTGCAGATTGAGGACCCCCTCCATCCACTGCTTTGTTGGGCTATGTACTGTGGAAACAAATTGCAGTGCTGAAATACTTGTCTGGGTCACTCATTTAGATGCCTATGGTAAGGGTCTGCTCTTCACAGAATCAAGCTGCTGATTGAGCTTGTTTCGCAAGATACGCAAGAGGTATCTCTGCATGGCACACTGTGACACACACCCAACCCCCCAGCATTATTGAGGTATATTGGAGAAATAAAATCGTATGATACTTAAAATGCACCCTTAGGTACGAAGACCCATAGTCTCAGTGAGCTGGTAGGGTGGTGGGGAGATCTTGAGCACATGGAAGTCAAGAATTGAAATATGCAACACCACCACCGTTCCCTTTTTACGGGGAGCAGCAGTTTCCTAAGTGGAGTGGTGAGGGGTGTTTGGAAAAGAAACTTGGGTTGCTCAGATGTGTCCAGGAGTCCTAGCTCAGCCTTGCCCTTCAAGAGGTGCAACGAAGGGGGGAGAATCATCCCAGGCCTTCCCTTCCCCGTCCCCAACTCCTTCTGTTAAGGTGGTCCTCAGAGGTGGGTGGGGGACTTTGATGAGTGAGGCTTGGAACAGGGATTAGTCAGAGGCAACAGTGCTCCCACGCTGTGTGAGGAGACCGACTCCGACGCATGGTCACAGTGCCAGCCCTAGGGATGGATTTTCTGAGACAGAGACAGACAGACACGCGGGGTTGGGCTGTGATGATGATGGTGGTTGTATGTGCTTCTGGGGCTGGAGGGCCAAGGCTGAAGAGAAGCAGTGAAGGGGAGACATTTATGCAGAGATCTGAGCATTAAATAGGAACTGCTCTCCAAGTAAAGGGATGGTTTGGATAAATGCGGTTTGACGTGAAAAAGCATGATGTCGTGAGAGGGCACGAATTTTCCAGGACCGCTTAAGTGTAAAACGGGGAGCGGAAGATGTGCCTAAACCCGGTTTAGGAACCAGACCCACAAGGGCCTTGAATATCAGCCCGAGGGGTTTGAGTTTCATCCAGAGTAAGGCAAGTCACCACCCTTCTTTGGGCCTCCGCATAATAAGGCAAAAACCAAAGGCTCACTCCCGTCTCCTCCCTCACAAAGTTGCCGGTAATAGGTCCACCAGCCACCAGGGCACTGGCTCAGGAGCCAAAACTTGCAGGCTGTCTGGGTCCCCCCCCACATGACGTCATGCAATCCTAGCAACGCATGCGCAGAACCTTTGTGCCGGACTCGCCAAAGGGCAGGTTTTGCCTCCTTTGAATCCCTCCATTTATTGGCTAGGAACAACTGCTCGTCTCGCTCGTTGTTAGCGGCGACGTAGGCGGGTACAATCTTGGTCTCTAAGATACCGCGCACTTCCGTTTCCTTCCCCTCTCCGCTGTACTGAGGCAGCCTGACCGCAATGCCTTCGACCAATGGCAAATGGGTAGTGGGCGGGGCTTCACTTGTCCGGACCAACGAAACGCGGGTTTGGCCCGGCGTAGCGCGGCCAATGACCGTGGGGCAGCCCCTGTAAAGTGGCTCGGGCGCCCCCACGCTCGTCTTTCGTCCTCTCTCCAGCCCTACCCCTCCCTGCCCCCGTTTCAGCACGGCGCCGGCCGCAGTCTGACAGGGACGGGACGGAGCCAAGATGGCGGCCGCCGACGGCGACGACTCGCTGTACCCCATCGCGGTGTTGATAGACGAGCTTCGCAACGAGGATGTTCAGGTCCGGAGGCCCCGGGGGTTTGGGGGAATACGGGAAGGGGTATTGGGGGCACGGACGGCCCTCGCGGAGGAGGCTCGGTGTTCGCCGGGAGTGGCGGAAGGGGGCGGCGGCCAATCAGCGCCGAGCTCTCACGTCTCTGGGACCCCAGACTGGATGAGACGGCGCCCGGGATTGGGTATTAGCCCACCGGAGGGCGGGAGGCAGGCCACCCTGGAGGGGTCCCGGGCCTGCCAAGTGCGCGCGGCGGTCGGGGTCCCAGAAAGCCGCGACCGGGGAGGGGGTCGGGCCACTGGGTGGGGCAGAAGGAAGGGCTCGGTGATTGGCGGTGAATGCCGCTGACTGGCCCCTTGGGGATGGGGGCGCGCGGCCTGCCCCGAGTGGGGGAGGGGCCCCGGGTTGGTCGGGAGCCCTGGCAGCTTTCTCCTTACTCCGCTCCGGCGCCTGGGCCTCCGCCCTGTGGGGTGAACTTTCTCAGGGGGGCCTGAGAGCGGCCTTTCCAGTTCCTGCTCTCCCTTCCTCTTCAGTTTTCGTGTGTGTTCCCGAAGGGGAGGGGCGGCGAAGACACTCCAGTCCCAAGGGGGCAAGTAGCCAAGTCTGAACGCGGATTTAGGTAGAAATTGTCCCGCCTTCTGGGACCCTGCCGGACTGCGGGTGGGCAGTTGACTCCACCGGCTAACACGTCTCTGGTGGGTGGGACGGGGGCCCGGCCGAGCCGCGCGGGCGAATGGTTGAGGAGACTGGGGACTCCGCGGGTTGTCCGTCCCAGCTCCACCTCCCACCCGCCGTGTGACCTTGTGCAAATGACTTCGCCGCTCGGGGCCTGTTTTCCCTGAAATGTGGGCGAATAATATAGTTCAGGCCGCACTGGGTGGTTGTGATGGCCTAGATGAGTTAAGACTACAAGTAAAATAGAACGGTGCCTAGTGGTTATGTAAGGGCCCAGTAAATGTTGGCGGCAATTATTGGGAGTAGTAATTGAAGAGGTCCCATTCTCGGTTTATAGGGGCCTCAGTTTTTGTTTATGAAATTGAGCGGACGGCACTGGGCCCAGCCTCTGAAGTTCGAGGCACATCACTGGTTGTGGAGTCAGGCCGACTGCCGTGGTACTCCCGGCTCTTCTCCTCCTTGCTGATTGACATGGGCAAGTTGGTTAATCTCCTTGGTCCTTGGCTTTCCTCTTCTCTCAGGTGGAGGTAATTATCTAGTTCACAGGGCTCTTGCGTGAATTCGTTTGTTCAGTAAACACTTGCCACCTATCAGTTATGGTGCTGAGGGTTGGGTGACACCAGTTGTTACGCAGGTGGCGGATGTGAAACAGCTGAATACATTATTAACAGGTGTGAGATGTGGGAAGACAACAATAGGGTATTGTGGTGGTGAATCAGTTAGTATTTATTGGGCCTCAGCCCTGAGGAGGGCATTATTTTAGGCACAGGTATACAACAGGGAACAGAAACTAGTGGCCTAGTGGAGCTTTAGGTTGCAGTATGGGGAAACCGACGATAAGGCGATTAAGTTAGAATGTATACCGTGTAAGAGGGCAGTAAGTGCTTCGGAGTAAAATGAAGCAGGGATGTGGAGGACCGGGAAGTGTTACAAGCTGAGATACAACGGCTAGCGAAGGCCTTTGCGGAGGGGACATTGAGCAGAGATGTGAAATGAGCAGGCCCTCACAGATATCTGGGGAATAGCATTCCAGGCAAAGGAAGCGAGTGCAAAGGCCCTGAGGCAGCAATATGCAACACATGTTCTGTGAACTGCAGGAAGCCAGTGTGACTGGAGCCAAGAGAATGAGCTGTTGGTGTTGGGAGATGAAGATGAAAGAGGCTGTGACTCAGAAGGATCTTGTGAGCAGTTACTTAAACCAGGTGTTGCCAGATCATTGAGCACGATTCAAGAAGGAGTTCTTGAGATGTTTTACAGTGCAACTTGACAAGTTTATTTAAGTGGCATGGGGACCTGTGGGTAGAAGGAGCTGTACTTCTGCTGTATGAAGCCAGTGGTTATATGCTTACTGCTCAAGGGGCAGGGGATGTGCAGGGAGTATTAGATCATAAATGTTTTCTTTGAATTTCTACTCATAAAACTTTCACAAGGTTTCTCTGGTGCTTATCATTTAGCTTGGTATTAACTGTTGGTGAGATGCATAGGCAGTCATGAGACCCTTTAAGAATGTAGCAAACAGCTTGTCTTTGGCCCTTACTGAAACTATGCAGGCTGTACATCAGCCTTCTGGGCTAAAGGTGAACATTTTTCTGCTTCTTTCCCTCATCACAGGGTTTGGCAAATGGCCAGGGGTGGCCCTGTGCCTTTTTATTTTTTAATAAAGTATTATTTGAGAACACGGGCCCTTTCATTTACATATTATCCGTGGCTGCTTTTGTGACACAACAGCAGGGTAGAATTGAGTAGTTGCAACAGAGACAGTTTGGCCCCTTAAAGCCTATAATATTTACTTCCTAGTTCTTTACAGTAAAGAGAATGTCAGCCTTTGACTTAAGCCACCTCGGTATTAAATGCCATCCTCTCTTCCCCACCCTACCTGCCCCCCTGCCCCCAAGTAGCCCATGTTATCAGGTCCTTACGAACCTTGGTAGACATGTGCTGTTTAGTGTGGTAGCCACTCTGTGGCTGTGGAACACATGAAATGTGGCTAGATTGAGTTGAGATGTACTTGTAAATAAAATACATACCAGATTTCAAAGACATGCTATGGAGAGTGTTAAACATCTCAGTGAAGCTTTTCATCTTGATTACCCATTGAAATGATAAAAATTTTGGGTTGAATAAAATACATTGAGATTAACTCTGTATGCGTATTACTTTTTTTAAATGTTACCAGAAAATATAAACTTACATGTATGGCTTGCATTTATTGTCTGCATTATATTTCTTTTTTTTTTGTTTGCATATTATTTCTATTGGGTTTTTATTTTTTTAAACACGAAATATTTTGTTCTACAACTTGCACTTTTCGCTTAGTATTTCTTCTGTATCTTTTCATGCAGGTACATACAGATCTGTGTTTAAAAGGAGTTTGAACATTTTCCCAAGAATCAGAGACCAAATCTCAGAGATTGCATCCGTGCCCATGTGTGTGGGCTTTCTGAGGACAGGGCTTGGCTCTGATTCATCTATTAGGATTTAGTGGCTCAGTATAGGCCTCAGAATTGAGGAGCTCAGAAAGGGTTGAATAAAAATAATAGCTGGTATCTGTTGGGTGCTTGCTCTAAGCTAACTGCTACAAAGGGCAGTACATTTACGAGCTTCCTGAATTCTCAGCCACCCTCTGAAGTAGGTCCTGTGCATACCTATGTTTTCTTGATGAGGAAATGAAGCACAGCATAGTATGTAACTTGGCCAAATTCATGCAGCTGAGAAGTGGAGGACCCAGGAAAGGTTCCCAAAGGAAGTGTAAGACCTGAGGAGAGAAGAGAATTTGGGGTGGACAGAAACTTGCTGACTATATCCATATGCCAGGTATTTTAATTGGTCTTTAATGAGACAGTCTAGGATACTAGGAAGAACATGGGTTTTGGAATCCTCTAGTCTTGATTGATTTGCTCAGGAAATACATGTTCAGCACCTCCTCTGTGCCAGACTGTTTTAAATGCTAGAATATAGCAGGGAGTAAAACAGCAAAGCTGCTGCCTTCATGGGGCTTACGTTCCAGTAGAGGAGGCAGACAGTGGATCAGGAGTGTGATGTCGGTGGCAGTAATTGCTTACTAGAAAAATAAGACAGGCATCAGGGTCTAGAGCAAGCCCAGGGTTGCTGGGTTTGTTTGTTTTTTTGTTTTATTTATTTATTTTTAAAGGTTTTACTTATTCAAGGGAGAGGGAGAAGCAGACTCCCCACTGAGCCCGATGTGGGGCTCAATCCCAGGACTTGTAGATCATGACCTGAGCGAAAGTCAGCTGCTTAACCGGCTGAGCCCCCCAGGCACCCCCCAGGGCTGCTTTATAGATAGGGTAGTGAGGGAAGGTGATAGTGGAGGAAGTGAGGATCTCTGAGGAAGTGGTAGTGAGCAAGGACTTGAAGAAATGAGGGAGAATGAATGGGGGGGGGGGCAGTCCAAACAGTTGGTACAAAGACCCTGAGGTGGGAGCATGCTCATTGTGTTAGAGAAGAGCAAGCAGGCCAGCGTGGCTAAAGCAGAAGGAATGGCAAAGCGGTGAGAGGTGAGGACTAGTCCAGAATGAGATAAGTGAAGGCCCGTGGACCAGAGCAAGGGCTTCTCTGAGTTTCAGGAGCTGTTGCAAGGATTTGCGTGGAAGGATGACATGTTCTGAATTAATTCTAAAGGATCCTCCCGGCTGTTGAGTAGGGGCCGGGCAGGAGCAGGTAGACTTATTGGGTGTCCTTTCAGAGCACCCAGGACTGGTGTTGGCATGGACGTAGGGAGAAGAGGTTTAGATTCTGGGTATGTTGAGAGGAGGGCTGTTGAAGCGGGGAGTCAAGGGGGGAGTCAAGGATGACTGAGCTTTGAATCCCAGCTCTGCCAGTTTGTTCCCTGTGTGTCCTTGGACCAATTCCTTTTCCTCATTGGGCTTGGATTCCTCATCTGTAGAGCAGGACTGATGATGAGGAAGCAGCATCTGCTGTGGAGGTTGTGAAGGTGCAGTGGAATCGGCAAATTAAGTGGCTGCCTAGAAGCAAGCATTCAGTAAGTGATGACCTTGTTCGGTTGTTGTGGTAGCTTATTGTTTTATACTTGGGAAAGTGATGTGCAAAGAGATTGCATCCCTTACCTAAGGCCTCCCCAGTCAGTAAGAGGCAGAGGCTGGACTGCAGTATCCATAAGTGTTTGGGGCCCCATGTTATTTACAGTGTGGTCCACTGGTTGAGAGGCTAGATCTCTGTGTTAGACCTTCTCTCTGTTTTCTCATCTGTAAAATTGGGAGTGTAATTTATGTAAAATGGGATTTTGTAATTGAGGAGTTTGTAAGGGGGTTGTGAGGATTAAATAGTATGGTACGTGGAAAATGCTTAGAACAGTG